CTGGGTCAGCAGCGTCAGCACAAAACTAGCAGGTGCTTTTCTTTATGGGGTCAGTGCAGGGATATTTGTATTTTCCAAGAGTGTTCTCCAAGCTACACAGCCTTCAAAAGGAGAAAAACATCCAGCTGTGCCACCACGCCCTGCTCTGCCAGTGGGCCCTGGGCTTGTGGGAGATGCAGTGATCAGGCAGCAGTGCCCCCAGCAATCCACCTGCCCCTGTGTTCTGGCTATGGGACCCTCGGGGACCAGCCTGCTCCCCATATCATTACAGCAGGGATTCAGACAAGTCCCTTCCTGATGAGTTGCTTTTTTTTCATCTGGAAGCAGAAACACCTCAACTGGCCAGGATAATTCCCTCCATGACCACTCTGCACAGGGCTGCAGCTGTGGGGGTGAGGGCTGCTCGTCCCCAGGAGCTGTGCTGGGCACACGTGCCACCCCACGAGGGGCTGTGGCTGGTCCCTGGGGCCGCAGTGAGTGCTGGTGCCACTTTCCTGGCAGCACAGTGGCATCGTGCCAGGCTGTCAGGAGGCATCTCCATCAGCCTCACGGCTGTCAGGTATCAGCACGGGGAGCACTAACCTCTCCTGAGATCTCCAGACATGGACACTTCCCAGCTGACAGCATCACAGGGATGATGGACACACACTTGTCAGGAGCCCCCCACAGCCTGGGGCAGTGCTGCCTCAGCCAGGCTGCAGTGGGGAGGTGGGATGCACCCCATCCCCTGCTGTGTTTTATGGGGCCAGTGGGCACCCAGAGCTGAGCACTGCGCCTCGTGGTCTCAGCTGCTGAGGAAGGCAGGCAGTGCTTGGTGAGAGCTGGTAGCCCTCAGCACAAGCCAAACCACAGTGGATACATCCCATCAGTGATGCAGACCCCTCCCCATTTGGCCACCACCACCAAATGCAAGCAGGATCCTCCAGTCCTGAGAGAAGCCCCCTGGAAGTGGCAATGCATAAGGACAAATTGCTCATCCAGAATGGCACCAGCTTTAAGGGCACCCCTGATGCACAACACAACTCCTCTCAACACACCATTTAATGGAACTGTGGAGAGACTACAAGCTGCACGGTGGCTGCCCAGCCAAAGCCTTCCAGTGCCACACAGCACCATATCCTGCCATGGACATGGCACAAGTGTTTTATAACCAGCTGCCAGCTGTTGGAGCACGTCTGCTAGAACAGCAGCAGGAAGAGCTCCCCTCTCCCAGGGGAGAGGATCACACCTGGGTCTCCAGGGGAAGCAGCTCTTGAGCAGCAGAACAATCCTGCTTTTCCCATGGCCCATGTCACCCCCTGCTGCAGCAGAAGATGGGGGCAGTGGCATTTATTTTATATTTTGAAGGCCTCAGGAAAAAGAGGATTTCAGAGGGATTTGAACACAGGTCCCTAAATAGCTTCTTAGAATTAAGAGATTTCATAAAGGATTATTTCAAGCAGATGCCTATGGTGAGGGGGAGGTGAGGGGACAGAGAAAAGGCAGGAGTGCTGTAGGTGAGCACAGGGGAGAACAGTCCCCATCTGAACTCCAGCAGTGAGAAGAGGGGAGCAATCCACACCCTGGCTGTGTATTCTCTGTTCTGGGTGAGTCAGAAGGAATGAGGAGCAGAGGGGTGGTCAGCAGATGTGGTGCATCCTGGGAAGAGGACAAAAGCAGTTCTTACAGTCAATGAACAGATATGGCTGCTTTGACAGACACATGTGGCATTTCAGAGGTGTGGGGTGAGCTAAAGGGGCTCCATCAACACCCCTGACTTCTCACTAGATGGAAAACCTGTGTGTAGAGGTGGGAAGGCTCTTCTAGCACTAAAGATGGGATGAGTTTGAAATGCTGGAGAAGGGGATCAGTCCATCAGACAGAGCTTGACTACGGGCAAATTCCTACCTGCAAGGTTATGCACACCAGACTTCACAGATCCAAACATTCATGGTGGAAATAACATAGTGCAAAACCAGGAAAGGCCACAAAACCTTTCAGAACAGGCACAGCTCTGTGCACACTGGTGGAATGTGGGTTGAAATGTCTTTCTAGTAAAACCAGGAGATAGTATTCCTTGGCACAGCATTTTCTGGTGCAAAGAGGAAGAGAAATACCTGGAACTTCATTATACTTTGGATATTGTGATGGAAATTGGTTCTTAGGGACTGGATCCTGTGAAAAGCTGGGGTCCTCTGCGGGATCCTGAGCTCCAGCTTTCAGTAGGCAGAAGTGTTGAGCATGCACACAGTGAGAGGCTAAGCCACAGGCATGCAGGAAGGAGTTCTAAGCTGGAAGAGCACATGGAAGAAACAGGGAAGAAAGGCTGGTGATAATAGAAAGAGATAGAAATGAAGAAAGACTAGAAAGGAGAAGAGAAAGGAGAAGAGAAAGGAGGGAGAGTTGCAATTTTACACTAGTGTAACTAAGAAAGCAGGAGGAAGAAAGCTGAGGTGGGTAATTTCCACTGGACAAATGATAGCAGAGAAGGACTGAGGCAAGAGAACAAAAAGGAGCCGGGCAGGAGAGAGCAAAGGAGAATGTCACAAGCAGAAAACTGAGCACATGGTTAAAACTCATCAAATATTGTTATTATGAGCAGCCCCTGCTGCTACATCTGGAACAATGTGCCATAGGCAAGGCCACAGGTCAGAGAGATGCTAGGGCTAAAATCCCAGCAAGCAGGAATTGGGGGTTTAGAGATTTCTTCAGCAACCAGGGAAAGAATTTTGATTTCTGGACCTTTCCTTCTCTACTCCCCTGGAGGAAACAACCTTTGAACAGCTCTGTCAGTAGTCAAGCTCTTTGGCCAAGAGACAAAAATATTACCACTTACAGTGATTTGTTCTTCCTCAGACCTGAACTGTCCCAATGAATTTGGAAGAAACAAAGTCTTCCATGGTTTTATGGCCTCACTCAAAAGTTGAGTCCATTGCCCATCACTCACCTGTGCAACCCTCAGTCTGCATTTGAGGAAAGGGAGGTTATGGGACCTGGATGCACAGGCAAAAGCAGCTCTCTAGCAAGGGTAATTACTGCAAAGTTAGAGTTCAAACACATTTTTTGTGCACAGATGTCTCTCTCTAAGAACATGCATGTTTATAAAGAGTGGTTTCCTTAGTGCCCCGGTTCATAAAAATAGGTGAAATTGGAATAGAAATGTTCAGCTACAGTGGCACAGACAATTAAAGGACAAGGAAAGATGACATGTCTGTAACTGGCTGAGATTAATAGTGATGAGCTATGATTGTAGCTTTCAGTGTTTGGCTTTTGGCTTTACAAGACTAAGCCTATAAATACAGCATTTCCTCATGTCTATTTAACAGCTGCAATTTTTTTGACACAAACACCGTAACAATTACAGGTGGGACAGGGCATGATCTCAGCTCGGGGTGTTGGAGACCACAAAACATGCACTTAGAGCCCATAACTGCTGAGAATCATGCATACAAATGCAGATTGGTTACACATCTGAAGCAACATTAACCAAGATGCACCCACGAGTTGGCAGGGGACCCACTCCCAAAGGAGTCTGACTTTAGCTTTCACCAGAAAACTTCTTTCTTCTTTCTGTTACTGATCCACAGGCTGGAAGATTGGCAGCAGAGTAGGTTGGCCCCATGCTCTGGTGAGTCACAGGGACAAGTAGCACAGGGCCAACCTGCAGCATTTTGAAGCTACTGTTGGAGAGCAAAACAATTGTGCAAAGGCTCATCCCTCATCTGTCACCTGCAGGCAGTAGAACACCTGGGGGACTGCAGTGTGTCACTTCTGAGACCAGACTCTTTGGTAGGAAAGATGGGTGGGGCTTTTCTTGAATACTCTTTTATGAGTTTGTTGATTCTGATCTAAGGCTGGGAGTGTCAGCAGACCTGGCAATGCTGTGACAAGGGAGGGGAGAGACTAATCAGCACTAAGTCACAGTATGTGTGCTCACCAAACACTTTGTGTACAAGAAATCTCTGTGTGAGGTCACTGGGAGGCTGGCACAACTGAGAGCATCACTGTCACACCTACACGTGGTGCTATGATAAGCCACCTCCTTCCACAAAGCTTTACTACTGAGAAATATGCTGCTCTTTTAGGATGGCTCTGAAACACTTTGCAGCCTTCTCCAAGGTGTTACACTCCTCCAGCACCATCTACAAGAGCTCACAGCCCTCTGTGGTTCATGTGCTGGGAGCTGGGATGTGGCTGGGATGTGGCTGGGATCTGGCTGAACAGGCAGGTCCCAAGGGAAGTCAGCACTGTGGGTTTAAGGATGGTGGTTACACCCTGCCAACTGCCCCAGGAATTCTTGCCTTCTGCCACCTGAGATTTAGGAGTGGCCACTTCCTGAGAAAGGTATGAACTGAACCACCCAAGGACATGTCATTCCATCTGATTGTTTCCCATCCAGGGACACAGCCAGGGAAGGTGGTTGGCAGGAAATACCCTGTTTTATCTTGGGTGGAGATTTTCACAGTGCTGGAAAATCTCTATCACACAGCTTTGCCTCTGCATGAAGCTTGTTGTGGTCAGTGTGGGAGACTTGAACAGCCTGTAGCAAAGAGCTCTCCATTTACACTTTTTCTAGCTGTTTTTAGGGTCAGGGAGTGGCTACTGCACACAGATAGAGAGGGTAGGATGCTCCAGAAAAGAAAGGCTGACTGCTTTGCTGGGCTGTGGCTCACAGTGGATGCAGCAAACATGTCTGGAGACTGTGCAGGGAAGAAACATGGCACTGTGAGCAGCACACACTGTCCCCAAGCCCTTCTCCAGGTGTGGGGGGATGTTCTACAGCTACCAACAGGCAGGACTTTTCACTAGAATCCCTTGTTCTGCTCTAGAAGCCTTTGTGCTGCACATCCCCTCCAGTTATGTATTTGCTGGTGTTTTATGCTCCATCAATCAACAGCCATCTGGGATTTGAACCTAGTGATAGCAATCTCTCTGGGGTGAAACACAGCTGTGTGCTGGGGGATGCTCAGTGGAGTTTCACACGGAAAGGCAAGAAAAACAGAGAAGTGGATAACAATCAGTCTAAGCTCTCTAGAGACACCACCTCTCCTCAGGAGGAGGAAGACGAGGGTGCCAGCTGCTCCTCCCTGAGGGCCTGGAGCAGGATGCTGCAGGATGAAGGTTGTCACCACACAATGCCCTGGCAGCAGCTTGTTCAGGGCCTTGGTCAGCCATGCCAGGAGGAAGAGCCATGAGCAGGTTCCTCCACCAGGTCCTCTCTTGGACAAACGAAAGCCACCGCAGAGCCAGGGACAGCAAGCTGTGCCAGAGGAGCTCGAGGGACAATGTGGAGTGAGCAACTACAGGGCAGAGCGAGGAGTTTGGCTCTCCTCCTACACAGCAGCATCCAAGATCCTCCCGTTCAAGGACGTCTTCGGCTGGAGGCCATTGTTCTGAGCGTGCACCTCTGGCCTGGGCTGTGTCATCTGCTGCAAACGCTGCCCAGAAATGAAAGGAGAGACTGTGTCAGCCAGGGCCGGGGGCAGCAGCACTGGGACAGCCAGGGCATGGATGGCAGCAGCTGAGGGGTGGCTCAGAGGTGACCCAGATTACAGGGCAAGGGGATGGTGCATACAGTGACTCCTCCAGCAGCATTTGGTAGTACCCCAAAAGCCTCTGCCTGTCACCTTTGCTCTGATGTTGCACAGAGCACAGCAGCTCCTCCTTTTGTCTGAAATATGGGGAGCATCCTGGTAAGAGGCAAACTGTTACCAGGCAAGACCAGCTGCAAGGAGGAAGAAGAGAGCTGCAATGCCACAGGCTTCAGAGCAGACCTATTTTTCAATTAGGGTTGATTACAGAGCATTACTAAGTAACAACAGCAGGTTAACAAGGTTAGAGTCTGTGCCTTTGATGCCGGTCAGAACATCCACCTGCACAAACCTTTGCACAGCATCAATTCCTGTCACCCTGAGCTGATCAAATGGAAATTGCAGAGTCAAGTAAAGTGAAGCAAGAACCCACGAAAATATGGAGGGGCCAATCATTACTGGAGGCATGTGGATTGAGCATCAGGAGTGATGAAAAGGAATGAATCACTTCTGCCAGTCAGGGAGGGACTGATGCTGTGCACTGCAGAAGAGAATGCAGAGGAGGATTAAGCCTGACCTGAACAGACATCACTAAGAGAAGCAGAACCTCTTTCCAGTAAAGGGAAACAAACTCCTACCTTCTAATACCACTGAAGTGGTTGCTTCTGAGTGAATTCCCTGAAATGTTCACTGAACTGCTTCTGCCATTCATTGTATTTTTCCCCTCTAACATTCAGGCTCAGCAGGATCAAAATTACTTGTAATCTTTCCTGTCTGTCAAAACCACTTTATTCAGGATTGGCATCTAATTTGCCTCCAGCTCCAGCTCTATTACAAATTAATCCAGGATCTGTGTATATAAGAGGCCAAAAATTCTCTCTGTCTCTCTGATACCAACACATGCACACACAGATTAGCCTACTTTCTTCCTGCTGCCATCTGCTGCTCACTCCTAGGTCTATGAATGATTGAGAGGGGGTCTGGGTCTCGTGATGTTTGTGGGCAATGTTAGAGGAAGAGTCAGACAGGGAGGGTGCACATCAGCCACTCATGCTGCTTACTGGTGCTGATGGTTTGCACAAGATGCTGAGGGTAAGGGTGGAAACACATTCACGAGCTTCCCTCCAAGCCCCTGGGGCAGCACAGGAATACACAGCACTTTGGAAGGACTATGGATATAATTGGCCCAAGCCTTTGGTCAGGAGGAGTCGAGCCACTCCTGAGAGGTCACAGATCAGTTTGGGCTCCCCCAGATGCTGTGATGTGCTTTCTCCATCTCCAGTATGGAGGATTGGGACTAGGCAAAGGGTTGAACCCATACCTGTACATTCATGCTCCCCTTCCTCCCTTTTCCAACATATATTACGAGTGAATAAGGAGCCCTGTAAATGTCTGAGAAAGGGTCTACAGCTGGAATTCAGTTGGCCTTCAACCCAAAGTCAATGAGGTGGCTTGACATAACACTCTGGCTTGAGTCCTGCAGGAAGGACAAGTACCTAAACCCAGCTTCAGATGAAACACCTGAAACTGAAAGCAGATCTGAGATCCCAAACCCACCAGTTCACCCCCATCCAAATGGAACACTGGGAGGAAGAAAACTCAAATCCACCTGCAACTTCACCTCAAAGGTAGAGAACCTGAAGCTGACCTCAGCCCAGTCATTCCAGCCACAACTTCTTTGAGTCAAAGTTTGTTAAAAATACAGCATCCCTAAAATAAGCTCATGTGATTTAGAAGGTGTCTGGTTGCTGTTCCAGCTGGGCTGGGAAAGCCACAAATCAACACTCCTGGGGTGGCTTCTTACAACTGTAAGCACCAAGCCAGGGATTTGGGGCACAGTGCTCTCAAAACTGAATGTCAACACTGTACATAAAATCTTAAGTACTGGGTATGACATAGAGACTCATCATTCATTGCTTAAAAAAATCCTGCTCAAATTACTAGAGAAAATGTTTTAAACAGGACTAATGTGGTGGGTATTGTGGGTCTTTCTTATTTCCTAATGCCTCAGTCACTGAGTGTTCTCTGAAAGGCACATGACAAACCATGTGCTTATTTCTGCTGCTAGCAGAGCCTGGCCTGAGACATTTCAGGATTCAGACTTGGAGGTGCTGATCTCCCAGCTGAGGAGTGCCAAGTAAACGTGCTCATAGCCAGGAGTCGTCAGGAGCTGGGATTTCTCTGGGTCAAGAAACTCAAGGATTTCTTCCCAAACTCTTCCATGGCTCCAGTACCCCATGCCAAAGAGATGGTCAGGGGAGGAGGGCTCCATTTTTGTGGTGATGGTCGCATAAATCTCAACGAGGAGCCACAGACATAAGGGTAGAGCACCTGAAGGTCTACCTGCATGTCCTGCCACAGCCCCTCAGAGCTCCCGGAGTTAATGTGTCCTGCTCAGCTGTGCTGGCAGGCCCTCTCCAGAGAGCCCCTGTCACTGGAGGCTGTTCAGTGCACTGGGGCTGATGTGAACCCTCCCTCTCTCCTGGGGGAGACGGTGCACGGAGCTCCTGCAGCACCAACCCGGAGCACTCTGATAACTCTGTCAGAGCAGGCTCTGCTCGGCCCAGGTTCAGCTCAGGGAGGAGCTTACCCTGAGCAGAGAGCAGGGTGGTGAAGCTGTTCCTACCTGCCGGAGAGTCCCTGTTGAGGTGAAGAAAGAGTAGAGCATGTACCCTGGAATCAGAAACATGGAGGACAGGGCCATGAGCCAACCGATGCCTTGTCCCCACACAGGATAGACGTATTTTCCCAGTGTCAGAGGGGTCATTTCCACCACACTAAAGAAGAACACACCCTAGAAAAGAACACCAGCCATTGCAGGGAAAGTGCAAAATTGGGGTCCTGGCATTCTATCCTTCATTACCTTCTTAGATCCCAACAGCCCTACAGGAACCCAACAACTTTTTTCATTAGTCTAGATTCTTTCAGCCCACCAACTGGTAATTTCATATCATTTTGTCTTATCCTAAGCTGGATAAGATATCCTAAGCTTTCCAAAAAGCTGGAATTGGAATACCCTATATTTCCTTCTTCACTAGACTACTCAGACAAGCAATGCCTCCACAGCAGCTCCTATGGAAGCAAACAGCATCCTCACAGCTGGTCTCAGAAATCTTCATATCACACCACTCCCTGATCTACTTCTGCTGGGAGGGCAGGAACCTGCAAAGGCCAAAATGCTCTGCAGTCAGTTATCCTGCATTTGATGATAGCTTTTTTTCTCATACGCCTGTCAGAGGCTGAAGCTGGAGTAGATGAAAGCCAGAACTGATAATAGCTTTTTAAAACATTACATGATTTTGCTTATCTTCTGGCATCTCAGAAAAAAAAAAAAAAAGAAAAAAAAAAAAGAAAAAAAAAGAAGAACTGATGGCCTCATTTAGATTAAAAGCAATAATCTAGAACTTTTTTATGGGTGATTTCCAGCTGGCAGAGTGAAAGAGGCTCCTGTATCACTTTACCCGTATCCAGTCTGCCTGGGACCCCCTTGCACCAGACCTGCACTGGGTTGAGAACAGAATGTTCCCCTAGAGCCCATCTAGAGGCCTTTCTAGACCCTCCCCTGCACATAGGATTCTCCAGGTCTTACCAGGCAGACAAGAGGTGTGAAGAAGGCCCAGCAGATCTTCCACCAGATGCAAGGCTGGTAGCCAATCATTTCTTCAATATTCCTGTAAAACCTGTTCACACCTACAAGAAGAAATGAGTATTGAAAAAAATCCCCACCTCTGCACCATGACCTTCATCTCTTCTCATGGCAGAGCACAGGCCAGGCACAGCAAGAGGGTGACAGTGTGGCATGAGAAGCATTAGCTGGAGGGGATGGGCTAGTGGGACACAAATTCATGCTAACAGCTTCCATGTTCCTGGTGTCCTCTTGAGGGCCCAGAGGGAAGGGCCCTGGGCATCTGCCAGTCTGTGCTGAGGTCTTTGTGAGGGCCTGGAGAGGTGAGATGACAGCCTTCCACTCCTGATTTTCTGAAGTTATCAATCTAAGCTATTTTCGCTGCAAAATTGTCATTGTCTTCACTGGCTTTGGCTTTTTCAGTAAGTCACCATGCCCACAGAGAAAACAAAGGAACAAAGTGTTTTGTGCTTACCATAACACCAAGAAATTGAGATGGTCTCAAAGAAGACAAGAAAAAGAAGACACATGCCACTGGCTGAGTAGTAATCAAACAGCTTGAAGACATAAATGCCACCCTGAAAAGACAAAAACAGGGTCAAGGAGTTCAGTTATAGATTATGATTGACAATATCAGCCAGCAGCTTGGATTGCTACTGCCTGTGTCTGTTGGTTTAATGTCTATTTCCTTGGACAGTAGAGCCACTGTTGCAATGTTTCCACTGGAGTCTGGTTCCCAGCAGCAAAACTGATGTGCTCTTGCAGACAATTAGCCAGCCTGTTCAGGCATAGCCCAGGGTGAGGAGAAAAGAAATTCACTAGGATCTCTTCTATGTCTCTGCTTTAGGAGTCAATTTAGTCTGCTCTGCCCCTCCATGAAGTTTTGCCTTGCCTCCTCATGAACCCACACTGCTCCACAAATGGTCTCCAGACCACTCAGCCCTCACCTCCCCTCATGAGAACCTCAGCTTCAGCTCCAGAGGCTCAAGCCTCCAACAGACAGGATTTCTTTGTGTTATCTTACCTCTTTGAAGTAAGCATTCCCTAAATTTGGGCTCTGGTGGCTTGAGTCCTTATGGCAAATAGCAGAAAAACAGGCCAGACTGACAATAGGATGATGGTAAAAATTATGGAGGCATCCTAAGTCACTTGAGATGTAGCAGTGATGAGCAAACAACTTTACCCAGAACAGGAGAAATGCTGTCACTTCTCCCAAAGCTTTGGTGGTGCTGTGATGTGCCAAGTGTCCAGAAAGGTGTCAGGAATGGAGGTACAAGCACAGCCTGAACAATCTGTACCTGGGTGATGTTGGAGAATCCAATGAGATAAGAGATGAAGCAGACTACTGCAATGAAGATCTTCTTCCTGGCTCTTAGGACTTGAGGATATTCATCCATCAGGGCTGTAATGAACCCTTCCACAGTGCAGAACTATGGGAAAAGGCATACACTGAGGATATATATATATGAGTAACTTAACCTGCACACATTTAACTTCAATGTTGAGAACCTTAATGATTTATGGACTCTGCAGACTCCAGAAAAAAAAGAGTCATCTCTGCACAAAGTTATCTAAACCATCTTCTGAAAATTCATCTCTCTCCCCACTGAATACAGATGGAGCTAGGAGCACCAAAGTTAAATACTTAAAAATAGCTCAGAAAAATGTCTGCCTTTTGCTTATCATGAAAAGCCTCCTCTTTCTTCCCAAAAACTCTCTAGGGCCTCCCTATCACTGCCCTGCTGCCCACGCTGCCAGGCCCAGTGCCACAGCTGTGTGCCTGGCTGCTGCTGGGACATGTGCAGGACCTTTACTGCTCTCCCCTTCTTGCTCTTCTCAGCCTGTGGCAGCAGCACTTGTGCTGTTCAATGATCTAAAATGCTCAATAAGGACCTGTATTACCCAGTCTCCCCTGCATGTAAATAACATCTCTGATTACCCAGTCCTTGACTGCATTTCACTTTTTCAAGCACACAACATTAAATGCATGTAGCACACCAAAAGCCCATCTTCAGAGCACATCATCTTTCTAGAGGTGGAAATCCCTGGATGGTTTGTGCAGAGCTGCACCAGCCACAGTATAATAATGTTGTCTGCACTATAACACATAACAGAATTCCCATGAGTGTTGCCTTCCACTTTTCCTACTAGTTCTGCCTTCTGGCACAAGGGCAGTTGGACTGCCCTTGTAAAGTGCATTCTTCTCTCATATCCCTTGATAAATTGTGAGATTTACTTCTATCTCTCACTCCCAGAAACTACAGGTATCATACCATCTCTCAGAGAGCACATCTTGCCTGTAGCAACAACCCCAGGACTTTATGAGGGCAGCAAACTGGCTTCCCTGGTCATGCTGAGCAAATGTACAAGCCAATGCAATTGAAATGAAAGTGGTTTCATCACTTTTCAATGGCAGGGACTTTCCTGTCCCTGGGAAGAAAAAAATCCCCTAGAGTGGAGGTGGAGGTATATAGACCAAAAAGAGCAGAGGGTTGGGAAGATGTGTGGTGAAAAAATGGAGTGCCTGAGCCTATTATAGTAAAATTAGGGACCCCAACGCAGGGAAATTATTGGTATTTGATTTTATGGTTTTGGAATGTTGAATATTTGTTTTATTAAAACTATACTATATTACATTATAACTACATTAAAGAGAGATATTATACTATACTATATCTATACTACAAAGAATACTGAAAAAATACTCATAACTAACTAAGAACTCGTGACTGTCTCTTGACAGGACACCGTTTTGAGTGATTGGCAAAGGAAATGAAATAATTTTTAATCGAATTTAATTACTAATTTTTTTAGGTAAATAATTTTCTAACACAAAAGAAAGCCAGTATTCCCAGAACATCCAAGCTCAACTTCTTCCACTTGAAATTTTAATGAGCTAAGCTTTTTATGTTGGACACAAGCGCCATTAAAGAATCTTTTGCTGTTCATGCATGGGTTAAGCTGCCTTTATAGTCAGTGACAGTGAGTGCTTCACCCCATCCCACCTGGCTTGTTGTCTGCAAGAGTCAGGACTGAGCTGGCACCACAGTGTGAAGAGATAGCATGACTAAAAAAAACCACTGTTGAAAGCTATTCCTTCCACATGGATGCATGGCCAGGCACTGCTGGAGCCATGGCAGGGCCAGGGGATCTGAGACCAGAAAGGCAAAAGCATTTGGAGAGGAACAGCCCTGGTCACAGGCAGAGGGTGATGTCCAGCAGAAAAGGAGCAAAGAAAATGACGGCTTAGATAACAGGATAAAGTAATGCTGACAGCCATTTGGTGTAGGAAGAATGATCAAAATCAGGGAATGCACAGAGGGAAAGACAGGGAGATGGGTGGTGGGGAACAGGGCTACAGAGTGAGTTGAATTATCTTCGTCTCCTATCAAAATTAAGCTCCTGTGTAATGGATAAGGTGGAGAAACAAATGGTCGTACATTGATTTTTCTAGCCATGGAACAGGCAATGACCTTCACACCATTTACTGAAAATTGCCTCATGACAACCTCAGACTTCATAGAGGATGCAGCCTGGAGGAGACTTACCATTCCAGCCCCCAGGGACTGCAGATGCTTGGCATGGGGCTCACTTTTCCCAGTTTACAGACCAAACCTTGGCTGCTTGCACATGCAGACACCTGAATGAAAGCATGCTGCTTTCAGAGTGGCAAGGAGCTGAGCACTGGTGCCTCCTGTTCTTGCCACTGCAGTCTGCTTTCCAAAAAATTCTGCTTTTCCCACCAACCTTCTCCAGCCACAGTTTTTAGCACATATTCTTCTCTTCTTCATGCCTCACCCTATGATATTCTTTCCCAAGCATTTTATTTCAATTAACTTCTCTCTTTTGCTCCTTTTCCTCATTACACAAGCTGCTGGATCCAGTAATCTGGGCTTGGGAGTCAATACAGGTGTGGCACCTCTGTCTGAAGGAGAGTCTCTCTTCCAACCTCTCCCAATGTCACCGGCTTGCTATTCCCTCCTCAGCCACACAGAGCACCCTATTGGGATGTATGGACCCGTGTGGAGTTTGAGCACAGCTGCCAGATGTGCAGCAGAGTCTGGTCTCACTGCTGGCAGCTGGAAATCCTCATGACCAACCTGTGCCAGGCAGCCTCACATGGGACACACACAGGCTGGCAGTCACAAGGCTTGCCAGCTGCCCTGAGCAATAAATGCCTGACCTGGAAACTGGTAGGTTAAAAGGAAGCACTAGAATATTATGAAAGAGGGTGGGGATGGGAGAGGGCTGAAGCACGGACGGATCAGAGCAGAGGGAAGACCAAGGCACATGAGTGAGGGCACGGGAGGGAGGTGTCTGTCAGTGCAGGTCATTCATCCCACCCTAGAAAACACAAAGCATCCTGGCAGGAAGGGCAGACGGGGCTGTGCTGCATCTGCAGGACACTGGCTGGACCTGCTCCCGCTGCCACTAAAGGGCTGGAGCTGGTGGCTGCATCACAAGCACAGATCTCAGCCCAGTCTCCCTCCCTCCCCTTGCCAGGCTCCCGAGCATCCCCGCCCCGCCGGTGACAAGGGACAGTCTCAGCCAGCAGCCCTGGGGGGTAGGAAATGCCCTACAGCCCTGCTGTGCCCCACGAGCTGGGCTGCTGACCCAAATGAAAAATGCTTGCTCCCCATCTGCAAATGCCACAAAGGATATGCAATCAGCACGTAGAAAATCCTTTTTTTTTTTTTTTTTTTTTTTTTTTACTGAATGCTTCAAAATGCATGTGGAATTGCAGCCATTGTAGCAGCCTGGGTTCACTGGTTTATATGCATAAGCTGCCATGCTGTTGCTGGTGTTTTTGAATGAAGCAGAGCTCCAGCATGCCGACAGAAAGCTTCTTTACATGTATTTAGCTGTGCTGTTTAAAAGCTTGTTTTCCTTTTGATTCTTCATTCCCTTTCCCAGCCTCTTCCTCCAGGCAATGATAGCCTCCCAACAGACTGTCTGCCCTCTGAAACTGGCTGTCAGAAGGGATGTGGAGAATTTCAAGGGGTATTTCAGAAGCAAATGCAGCAAATAAATTCCACAGAGTGCTTAGAGGGCTTATTGTCATGTCTCGATTTACCAGCACTGAGTGAATAATCCATGCAGATAATTTTTTCTGTAAATGTAGTTTCTTTCAGAACATTCAGGTATTATTTGAATTTTATTTTCTAAATAATGTCTGTGGTAATGCATTCATGAGCTTTATAAAGTGCATATGAGAGTGTGACATGATTGAAAACCAGATTTGGTTGATTGGATTTTCCTGGAAACCGGGTGTGACATTTCAGGAATAGGTTTGAGTCTGATTGTGAAGTGGGCTTGGGTTTATAAACACCACCTGTAATCCAAGAGAGCATCCATGTTGTACTGCTGGTTTGTGCTGCAAGAGAGGAGCTTGGGGGCATAAGGGTGGAGATGACAGACCAAGTGCAGGTTTTTGCAGGAACCTGTGATTTCGATACACACAAAAGGAAGGCAGGCTGCAATTCACTGCTTCACTGGGTAGCTACTTTTATGCTGAATTATCAGAAAAAACCCTATCACCACTTGTAAAAATGCAGAGATAATGGGTTTTTTTGTTTGTTTTGTGAGGGCTTTGAGGGAGCAGGATAGAGACCTTTTGCTACACTAACTTCTTCCCTCTCAAGCATCTTGTAAAACTTTGCCATCAGATAAGATGGCAAAGCAGTCAGGGTACCCAGGCACCAGCCTTTTCCAAGGCATGACTCCTTTCTGCTGGGGATTTATCCCTACTAACCTATGGACCAGACCAGGGAGATGCAGCTCTGCTCAGGGTTGCATTGTTGTTGGCATCAACAATGCCAAAATGCTGCAGGAAAGCACAGCCCTCACACCATGAGAGAGTAAAAACCCACTCTGCTCAGCAGTGTCCCAAGTGCAGAAGGGGACACCACAGTTGTACCTGAAGAGGTTTTTGTATCTTCCTCCACTTTGTCCCTGAGTTGTCTCACCTGACTGTCCAGACCCAGCATCATCAGCATGGAGAAGAAGAGGATTGACCACAGTGGGGACAAGGGCAGCTGTGTGACAACCTGCGGGTAGGCGAGGAAAGCCAGTCCAGGCCCTGCAGTAATGAAAAGGGAGATGAGCCTGTGGTCACAAAGCATTTGATGGGAAGTCTGAGCTAAGTGCCATGGTTAAATAGAGAGACAAAAATTACAGCAAATAACTCAGGGGTTTTTATAGAGGAGCTAGGATCACCTTTGTGCCTGTGACACACCAGCTCGGTGGGAGGCATGGGGGCAAGATGGGGAGACAGGATTGGAAAAACAAGTCCTGCAAGTAAGGAATCAAGTAATCAAATTATTGCAACCAAATGGAGCTGGAGCACTGTGCTAGAAAAATAAACTGATATTCAGGGTTATAACTTTCCTGGTGCCTTTTTTTTTCCCCACCACAAAATGCTGTTTCTTGAGATAAAAGCTTTCTCTGAAAAGACAGCAATTTCAAAATATGTCTTCATGCAGAAAGACACAGTCCCATCTTGGTTAAAAAATTATTCTGAGATCACAGTCTCAAGATTTTGCATGAAAAAGGGACTCCAAATTTTGATCACATCTACTGAAAACATAGGTAGTATCTATTTTCCATAGGAAGGTTTCAGGCAGCAAATGGCCTAAATATTTCATTACAGCAAAATAAAACTTCAGCACTCCTAGACAGGAAAGAACCAAGAGCACTTCACACAAATGGTTCTCACAGGTTGCTGTTGCATTTGAACCTGGGTTTCTGCTTACCTGAGGAGGCCAGCTCTGACACCGACTTCTTTGTGATGTGTGACATGAAGCCAATGATAGAGAAAATAACAAATCCAGCAAATATGCTTGTGGTGGAGTTTATACAACACACAATAATGGAGTCTCTGGAAGAGAGAAAGAGAGAAAAAACCCCGCCTGCAGGTCCCTACCAAGAGGAGGTGGTAGGGTAAACAAAAGACCAAGCCCTGTGGATAGGTGGTCCTGTGCCTTGGACAGGTAGCACAGGTGACATACTAAATGTCCTGTAGGCAGGGAGCCCCTCTAAAGAGGTCACAGTGTGTCCCCTAGGCTGCATGTTGGCAGCATGGGGACTGCAGAGATCAGGCAGATTCACCACAAGCCCCTGCCTCACCCATGAGGAGTCCCAGCCACACAGGAGAGTGGAAAAAACCAGCTGACCTGTAGACGTTGTTGTGGAAAGTGTTGTAGCTGCCCAGAGCAATGAGGGAGCCCAGCCCCAGGCCATAGGAGAAGAAGATCTGAGTGGCTGCATCCATCCAGACCTGCAGAGAAGGAGCCAGAAGAGGAGTGCAGCAGAAGGGGACTCCGTGCTGCAGGTGCATGTCCTGCAGCAGCGCAGGGCAGGGCTAGCAGGGGGGCTGGCTGCAGACTGCACACACTGGAGCTGTGTGCTTGCATGTACAGCCCACTGGACCTGAGGGAACCCTGTCAGTGGGGCCCAGTCAAGAGTTTATTACTAATATCTAATCTAAAGCTGTTCTCTTTCAGTTTAAAGCCATTCTTCTTCATCCTATCACTAGATGGCCTTGTCAAAAGTCCCCCTCCAGGGCTTTACTGTAGGAGATTCCCTACCTTTATGTACTGGAAGGCAGGGAATCTGCATCCTTCCCATGTGTCAAGTGTATCAAAGTGCAGTCTGGCCCAGCATCAGACATATATCCCCAGCCCTCCGATGGGATGGATTCACATGGATGAAGGGCCATGCATTTCTGAGCAGTGTCCTGTGCAGATCAGAAGGGACTCTTGCATTGTCTGAGTCTCTGTGTGTTTGCTTTTTCACATGTGCCCCCAATGGATGCTGCTTCACTCAGAGACCCACATTCTTCTCTCACACCCTCCATTTCTCTTCCACTAGTGTGTCTTTGATTTTCCAACATGGAGCTGTTTGTGCAAACAACTGCAGAGGACAGCTTGCAAAGCTGGTCCCAGTGCCTTAAGGTGTTAAATCTCAAAAGTTCAAGAAAAGAAAACAGACTGTTTCTTAATTGCATAGTATTTACACAACTCTTCTGGTCTTGGGAACCCTGTTTCCTGCATTAGAACAAATGCAGTTGGTAGTATAGTTACAGAGTGTCCTGAAAGAGGGATCATGGGGACTCTTGCTGGAAAATGACAAATGTCCAGCTGTCCCCACTCACACATGACTGGTGACTTTGGAACAATGGGAGTATTGCTGCTGAAAAACACTGAGTCTATGTATCCTGGAAAACTTCATTTTTGCAAGTATCCCTGTTCCTCCTGGGTGTCCTCTCTGCTACCAGTGATCAAGAACACATTACTGGCCACCACTCATCACTTAAGCACTTCCAAAAACTGCTGCTGTGTGTGCTGCTGTGCTTGTGCTCCTTCTGAGGCCAGCACCACATCATCCTTTCTCTGGGACCACCAGAACAAGACCAGACCACCAGCCCTAGGACATGAAATGAGACGTTCCTAGCCCAGAGGGCAGGTCCCTTTGTCAGGATAACTTCTGACACCCCATACCCTGTGGATAACACTGCTTGAGTACAGCAGAGCTGCTGCACAGATTTCCACCCATGAAATCTCAGTTTTCTCTCAGTCTATGGGACATGGGTCATGAATACTTGTACAGAATTATTCTAGTATTTTAAGTACTTACAATATTCATGGGAAGTGTATGTGGAAGCCTAATGCAGAGACAGCTGGGAGATAAGAGCTTTCCTCACTAGGCTACAAACCTCAGAGTCAGAGAGCTTCCTGAAGTCAGGTGTGAGGTAGAAGAGGATCCCCTCCTTGGCTCCTGGCAGCGTGACTCCCCGGAACAAGAGGATGAAAAGCATGAAGTAGGGGTAGGTGGCTGAGAAATACACCACCTAAAAAAGACCCCATGGGAGAGAAGCCATCAGCCCACCAGCACCCAAGACCTTTCCTGCCCATGGCATCACTGGCATGTTCTCCTGTGAGGGGGACAGGCTCTCAAGCACAGCCACTTTCAGCAGCATTTCCTTGTATTTTCTGTCCCCTATTCCCATGCTAGTAACATTTCTGTCTGTTTGAGGTTTCTCCCTGCCAATGATACACAAGGACACACTAATCACAAAAGTAGCATGCTGAAGTCTGGATGAAATGCCCAAAGACAAGGGAATTGCACAGGGATAATTTTAGTCCACAGAAGTAATCCCCTTAAGTCATCATATCCTTATTTTGCAGAGCTAAAGCTGGTGTTTCTCTAGACCAATGCATCAAGCAAAACGAGTTGTCTCGATTCCACTGCTTTCTTTTCAGCACTGTTTCAGTATCTTACGGGTATGTGCCATCCCTCATCACAGGGCCCACACCAGTAATCACCAGGGCTTTGCTGTGGCTGCGTAGCTAAAGCCTGTTTGAGAGCCACTGGGGAAGTTAACAGCTTAGGTGACCTATCCCTGAAGTGCTTCTTTCTGATCTCTCCTCTAGATTATCCCTTTCATAATAGTGTCCCGCTGCACCATGCTGTGCTCTAAATAACACATCCCAGCATCTCAGTGCTGCTGTTTCACTAAACAAAGCAATTACCTTTCTGCTGTGCTAGCCTGGAACACTGCACAGGGAATAACAACTGGCTTCTCATCTGAATGTCTCCCACCAATATCAAAAGGGCAACAGGGAAATTGTCAAAGGAGATGGTGAGATTTTTTTCCACCAGAGGCAATTTAAGAGTCTGTGATTGTCAAAAGTGGGAGGCCACAAGAAGCTTTGCTCTCTCAAAGGGCTGTCCCAAAGCGGGAAACACAAGTAATTTCTGAAAATGCCTCCTCCCAAAAAGAATGCACACTCAGACCCATGACCTTATAGGCAAGAGCTATTCTCTACACTTAGAATGAAAATTACCATAAACATTGTAGCAATTTTTACAGCCGTGAAAGGTAAATGTCAGGAATTTAATAGCATCTGCTGTGATTGTGCCTGTAAACACTGTAACCTTAGTTATAGACACTTAAATAAAATTGAGTCTGAAGGACATTTTGACGGCAAGGAGAGGCAGCATCGAAAGACCCAGCCCTCACACTGTACCTTGCCTGTCCACTCCACACCCTTCCAGATGGAGAAGTAGACCAGCAGCCAGGCCAGGGCCAGTGTGCCAGCCAGGGGCCAGCGGACGGCGCCAGGCTCCCCCAGGCCTCCGGACATCTGGTGCATGTTCCTCCTAAGGGTGGGAGACACTGCGTTAGGAGGAAGTCTAGCAACCAAGGGCACAGGAATTTGGAGCTGCTCCCAGAGGTGGCTGGAGGGTGAAGGGCCAGATGCAAAGTGTGAGAAGCCACAAATCCCTAGAGAGAGCTGAGGATCATTATGATGGGACAAAGGGAGGCAAAGAGAGGTGGAGAGACTGTCTGCCTGCAGGTCCATCTGACCTTCATCTGCACAGTGCACCCCATGGCCCGTGGCTGGCTGCAATGCCCTTCTGCCAAAGCTGCCCAAGGAACAGAGCCGCCAGGCACAGCCACAGCCCTGGTGGGCAGGCACAGTGACCACAGGGAGGGGGAGAAACCTGGTGTAGGCAGGCTGGGGACGTACTCCCAGAACTCGGTGACGGCGCTGGTGAGGTTGGTGGTGTCGTTCAGGGAGTAGTTGGAGAAGCAGCGGTCTGTGTTCCAGGGGTTCCCACAGCTCTGCCACGGCAGGTCCTGCACCAGAACAAGGACAGCGGGGTTATCATTCATGGGGTATCTCCCAAGAGAAATCTGGATTCTTTTAAACTGAAGCCCCTTAATTTATTTAGGTTTTTTTTGCAAAGATAATGGGCAGCTCCACTGGATGGAGTTTGGATACACGCCCTTGTATCCAAAATAATGGAATAATTTTCGAAAATATGATAAATTGTGACAAGGATTTTTGGGGAAAAAATATCATTCTGTGATATGGGCAATACTGTAGCTCCAATAAAATGTTAGCAATTCCCCACATACAAAGCCACTTCCAATTAACTGTTGATAATTAATACCTACAAATTAAAGTACTATCAAGGGATACTGTGTTTACAACCACTACAGCTTTTTACCAGCTTCATTCAACAAGTGGCTGGAATTTACTGCAGAAAGAATAAGTAGGGATTTGTTTCTTATGTTTCATTTACACCAACTTCAATGCTTAAAAATCAACATGGCCCTGAGAATGGAGGCAATGGGTTGTCTACACAAACAGACTTTTATAACACAAGCACAGGAGTAAATTGTTCAGGACAGTAGCTGTTTGATGCTGTCCACTGCCCTGATTACAAGCAGCACAAAGGGATTCCTGGGAGATGTTTACACTGTGGGTAGCGGTGTGACAGCAGCACAACACTACAGATTTAGTGTGACCAGCTCTGGCACTGCAGGCAGTGAGACAGCAGTGCCAGGGGCAGTGCGAGCGTGCAGGGCAACTCACCCAGGCCATGCAGTGCCACGGCTGAGCCAGCCCAAGGAAAGCAGCTTGGATATGTCTCCATGAGCAGCTACCTCTTTTCCCAAGCACAGTGCATGTAGATAAATGCAGAGCAGCTATTCTGGGTGATTTCCCTCTGCAGATAAGACCTGAGGCTCCGGCTCAACAAAGCTTTAAAAAGATTTTTGTACCCATCCCTATTCTTCCACGAATGTAGACCTCTTCAAAAATATTATCTGTGTTTTAAGTGCCTTGTGCCATCAGTGCCTTTAAGGGCTGCCTTCACTGCTCCATCTAAATCAGTTCACTCCAGCAGATGATTCTTTCAAACGTGGCATCCTGGCAGAATGGTGACTATTGCAGAGGTGGAAGTGACATTCCAGTGGCCACCCAGACCACTGCACCCCCCTGGTGCTTTCACTGAGGATTCGCTAACTGCACTGAAGTGGTTTGAGTAGTGCTGCACAGCAGCTCTTCAATGCCTGCATGTTAGAGAAGCTGCACAGCTCCCACAAGGAGGGGCAGGCTGGGGGACAGTTTTTTGCTGCTCCATTTCCTCTGAATCTCAGAGGACAGAAACTGCAGAAGGCAGGCTGGACTCCTATTATAGTTCAAAGCACTCTTAGTCAAATTTAGGAGGCAGAGGGGACAGACATCAGCCTAGCTTTTTCATTTGCACCTGGGTCCTTTTGGGAATTTGGAATTATTATCTCTGGTAAAAGAAAAAGTCTTGAGCCAAACACCTGGATCTGCCTAAGTACATACAAGTACTGTCACCACCTGGGTCTGTGACACCTGAATGTACCAAAGCCTCATCCAAAGAAGCATCCTGCCCAGGGTGGAGTTGGGATGGGCTACTTTGGGGAAGACCTCTGTTCATTTGGGAAGCCCTGAGGGTGCATCTAATCACCCACAGCCAATAATTTTGTTCTAGATCCAGGACTCTACAGTAATAGGTGGTGTTGGTGGTAGAAGCACAGTTGGGAATGCCAAATGAAATGATTCAGCAAAAGTCTTGATAGACACTTGAAAATTTTGCTGGAACAAAAAGGAAAACTGGATGTACAGTGTCCCCAATCACATTTCAGTGTTATGTCTAAATGACATTTAAAAAGATCCCATTTGAACCATGGGGTTGATGCATTTAAGGCTTCAGGTTGCTCAGAGACTTACATTAAGGAAACTCTTAGCAGTTTCTGGGTTGAAATAAATAATTCAGCTATCAAGAAGTTAATATGGAGTGTGATTCTAACCTTCGTGGTAGAAGGCCCTGCTATGGAAAAGGAACCCACTATAAAACACAGCACCAAAGCACACACTAAAGGACAGTCACAAGCAGATGTCTAGATACTTTCTGAATCATTTTCCCAGCAGAAAAAAAAATCCCTTGGAGATCATTTATCGAGAGGGAAGTGAATAAGAACTAATTAAGATAAGGAGTAAGTCCTGAGAAATAAGACCATGATGTAACAAAACCTGACAAAACCAGTTCTGGAAATGTGCAGCTCAGATTCAAGCAGCCCTAGAAATAAGACAGAAACACAGGCTGAGTTTTAAAGACTGAAGTGAGTGGGAACAGTTCCTGTAGAGGGGATAGGACCATCCCCCCAGAAGACAAGCATCACTACCCATCAGCACCACAAAACTGCCTCCAGGGCTGATGAACCTCTTCAGGAAGGGTGTAGCATGATGCTGACAAGGGCTCTTTGCACAAATGGCAAGCAGCTAGTGACTGCTGTGGGTCACAAACAGACCACTGCCCATTAGTGGGAGTGAGGAGCCAGAGAACAGGCAATGCCATGCTGCAGACTCACCGCAGTGAAAGAGTTGAAGAGATAGTAGAGGGCCCAGGCAATGATGACAATGTAGTAGATGTTCAGCCAGAAGGACAGAACCATGGCTGCCAGTCCCACACCTGCAAATGAAGGCAGAGAGCAGCATCAGTCCAGGTCTCCAGTACCCAAGGGAGTTCATGGGCACCACAGCAAGGGGTTTTTTTGAAAACCACAAAAAGGAAACCAGCTCATCAACGCAGAGTGTGCTGTAGTTGCACAGTGAGCTGGTCAGCAAGGGAGGCTCATTCCCTTATGTCTCTCAGCCACCCATTTCCACCAGGGGAACAATGCTTTCAGTGTGCTACTGGTACTCCATGGACAGAACTCCATGAAAACAGGATCTTGTCACTTCCCAGGCAGAATTGTGTTTTCCCACATCCAAGACATTTCTAAATCACCATTGGCTTCCAGAAAACAGTTGCTTCAAGCATGGTAACAGGTTGCATTCCCACGCAATTAAAGTAAGCATTAGAGGGAAAACAAAGGCAACCAGAACCGCTCTGTCACAGTCCCTTGTCCCATAAAGTCCCTTGTCATCACACAAAACTGCTTGAACAGAGCACAGTGATGTTAGTGACTGCAGACATTGAGGTCAAGGACAGCTTGATAAAGACAGAGGGGAAATCCCTCCACCCCATCCCAGCCCCCAGGGATTTGCTGATTTGCCTTCAAACCATTAATGGGGTTTTGGCTCTAGTTACGTGCCATTCCTGTCACAAACACACAGTACAGTACCTTTGAACATGGGTGCTAATCTCCAGACTCCCAGTCCACCAATAGAGGTATACTGGCCCAGAGCAGTTTCCAGCAGGAAGAGAGGAATCCCAGCAAACACCAGTGTCAGGAAATAGGGGATGAGGAAGGCCCCTGAAAGAAGGAGTAATGTTATCAGGCAGTTCCCCCTTTGATCAATGCCTCCAGCTGCAGTTTCTTGCTTTGCAGCACCCATGTGATGAGGAGCAGCCTCTCCCAGAGGTGAAAGTTGCAGCTGGAGTTGATGTGTTCAGTGAGTCTCTCACTGAGGTCACAGCTGCCTTCCCCTTATCACTGTGGGTATGTATGTACCATGTATACATATCCAGTGGCATCACTAGCTGTGCAGTGCCAGGCTCACTTTGTTAGCTGCTTAGACAGTGCTAAACCCAATCTGACAACAACCCCAACTGCTTGGACGCTGACATTGGTAACTTGTTGATGTTTTCTGTCTTACCTGCAGAAGCTTTCAATTCTTCTTTTTCTTCTTGAGGGAATAGTGCACAGGAAATTCTGACATTGGCCTCTGATTTCTTTGTTTATAGCTGTTTCAGTCTTTTAAGAAAACTGTGACAAGACTGTATTGGCTTTTGTAACAGTGCTATGTACCATTCCACCTGTGGTTTAGGTTTTACCTTTAAAACTCCTAGTGCAAATATTATTCTTCTCCATGGCCCTATGGAAATCATCACTAGAAAGGAGGTAGAACACTCATTCACTAGAGATATTACTGGCACACTGTTTTTAGAAGAGCAATTAGAATAGGAGAGCCTTGCTGTCTGATTGGAAGGCCATACAAGTTCAGGTCATCCTGACTTCTAGGATGTGGTACAAAGCCCATTTTTTATCTTTCTCATGCATGTACTGGAATGGGCCATCATTTCTGAGGAGGACAAACTTTTGCAGAAGATGCTTGCTGGGGACAGAGGGAGGACACTCAGTTTGCTCACAAGTGGCTGGCTGAGCTCAGCACAGCACTGATTCCTGCACCAGCCTTAGGGCTGAACTGTCACTCTGAGTCTTCTTCTCCAGATAATCGTAGGAAAGTGAACATGGAGCCAGTGAGCAAAGCCACTCTGGAGAGCTGTGGCCCAGCTTGCACCCAGCAGAGCCAGGCTCCAGCAGCTGCTCTCTGAGGGCAGTGAAGCAGCCAGGCACAGCCAGGGTTGCTGGCTCAGGGGACATCCAGCTGGGGACATCTGCCTGCCAAGCAGGGAGCTGAACCCAGCTGGGAGAGGCAGGTGCCAGCACTCGGCATGGGAGTCCATGGGAGGCAGCACGCAAGAGGAGCTGGCAGTGGGTGGTGGGGAGAAAACACTCTCTGTGCCAGCAGCTCAGTGACCATGAACCTGAATCACAAGCTGGCATGGAAGCACAGGCTCTTGGCTCCACCAGCAGCCTGGTGCACAGGAGAGAACAGCTTTGGGCATCACTGTGCCTGCTCAGCAGCCTCCCCTGTGTGCTCACTAGACACGACAGCCTGCAAGGTCCAGGCCCCTGAGAGCTCTGTGGGAAGCCAGGGTCTGCTCCGAGGCTGCTGCCACCCTGCTGCTGTGCAGTTTGGAGGCTGAGCTTAGCAGCAGTGCAAGTCTCTTCCTTGCTTCTGGGCGAGCAATTAATGAAATTTGGCTGCAGCTCTGATGATCCTGCACTTCTCATCTACAGCAGATCAGGAAGGTTTGTAGGTGAAAGATCTTATTAGATTGTTGGGAAAGAAAAACAAAAACAAAAACAACAAACAAGCAAATAAACTTTTGGACACAAGTCTTTTATCCTGGCTTCATTCTCAAGAATAGTGGAAAATCTACAAACCAGACCACTTCCTTGAGCTGAGGGCTATTGGCAATGACACTGCCACTCTGGAGGGCCAGGTCCCCAAGCAGGCATGGATAATATCCCCAGGTCCTGTACAGCCAGATGGGAAAGCAGTTCTGAAATTTGTATCTAAACTTTGCAGGCCGGTACAAAATGCGGTTGTGCGTGACCTTGTGAAAGTCCCAGCTTGTCTCAGATCCATGGGTGTCAAAGAGGTGATGACGCTGGTCCTGCTCAGAGCACTGACCCTTGGAGGCAGGGAAGGATCAATAGTGCCTGACACTCACTGTGCAGCCCCAAATCTGCCCGCTCCTAATGCTGTACAGCAGAGAACAACAATTAATCCTTCAAACAGGGAACACTGCCCACGAATCAAAAACTGAGCATTACAAGCTGTTACACTCTGCTGTTTTGAGTCTCAGCGTGCAAACGAGGAGTGCAGGATGCTTATTTAAAGGATTGTTTTTCTCTCAAGTGATTCAAGCTTAGGCTCTCACAGGCAATTCTTAGCATGTACTGAGCTGCATTTAGAGTGAATTTGAAGTCTGTTACAATTCTGTTGAGATCAGAGGGACTGTATAAGGTTAGAGATCGGTGAAGAGGCTGGAGCCATGGACACAGCTGGGCACATCCAGCTGCGTGCAGGGCCAGCAGGGAGCCCAGGCATCACTTTGGGAGAAGCCTGCTCCCCGAGCGCTGGGCTGCCGCGCCCCGGGCTCCCTGCGCCGAGCAAACCAGCCGTGAGCCGATGCAATGCGACAGCGGTAAGCGAGACGACAATATTTCCATTCAGTTCAATTTGCCTGTGCGTAATGGAAGCAGCCCACACGACCGCGCTGTGAGCAGCGCACATGCAGGGCGCTAAAATTAGAGTTCCACCCCCAGTCTGCTGCGCTCCGTCGAGGCGGTGGCGAAGGAGCTGCCGTGCGGGTCCCGGTGACGCCGCCGTGCGTCAGCCCCGCCGCCCGGCTCCGCGCTGCTCGGGGCCGCCGGGAGGGAGGGATGAGCCATCCACGGACGGCAGGGTGTTGGAAGCGATGCCCGCTTTTCATCTGCCGGGCGTTTCTGCTCTGCGTGCCCGTGTGGCATTACTGATGGTAATAATAGCGCTCCACACCTCTGCAGCATCCTCTGTTCTAGGTTCTCAGCTGACTTTGTATGTAGGATCGATTTTAGCTCCACTGCACCTCTCATCTCGTTATAGGCATTGTCATCTCCACTGTTAGTGTGAGGAGACAGTCGCGGGCAGCACAGAGCTGGTGTGAGACTTGAGATGGCGCAGCAAGCACAGGGCAGATGCTGGCTAACAACCAGGGCTGGGACCTAGCCGCAGGGAAATGTTCTTTGAGGAAAGCTAGCAGTCAGAGTGTGGCCAGACAAAGATGACAAATCAGCACAGTGGCTCTGGCATTGGTGGCACAGGCTCCCCAGGGCAGGCCTGGATGTTCCCATAAACCTCACTCAGCTCAGCTGCACATTTCCACCTCTCCACAAAACCCAAAGAAACTGTGGATGCCCCATCCCTGAAAGTGTTCATGGCCAGGCTGGATGTGGCTTTGAGCAACCTAGTGGAAGGTGTCCCTGCCCTTGGCAGTGGGTTTGGAACTGGATGATCTTTAAGGTCCTTTCCAATCCTGACCATCCTATGATTCTACAATTCTAAGAAAACAACATGGTCAGTTAGAAATCTTCTTGTTGAAATTGCTAACTTTCTGGTCTCCTGCTAGGACTCACTCCACATGCTTTAGATAGCCTTAAATGCCATGAAGTTAAATGGACATTTCTTCAGGGAACAAGACCCTTCCCCTCTTTTCCAGGGCTGGAGGAGAAGAGCATCCTACACTGCATGCAACAGCAGAAATGGGCTGGTGATACGAGAAGTTATGAGAGCCAAAGGCAAAAGGAAAATAAAAAAGACATGGAGAAGAAACATGAGAAGATACCCTCAGAGCAGCATGAATGAGTGTGGCACTTGGGATGGGGACTCCAAGCTAAAAGGGAAGCAAAGAACAATGTGGGAAGACTAGCAGGCAAAAACTAAAATTATATATACAGCCTTAAAGGTGAGGAAAAGGGGTTTGGACTTGTGTGGGAAGTCTGTAAAATGGTTCAAGGAAGTGAGCAGCTCTTCAAAGGGGAGAAGGAAGGCTGTTTTAGTAACAGGCACAAGCAATGGGAGAGCTCAGCATGGAGTGAGAAGAAAGAGCCTCTGCTCTACTGACACCTGCCTGTACTCCCCTCCACAAAAGCATCTCCCTGACAAGGCAGAAGAAAGAGCACCATTTGAGAGGGGAGCTGAGGCACAGAAGTGTGTTTTCTGAGTTGATCCAAGATGTGCAGAAATTCTGTAGCTGAGCAGGGAGAATTCCCTTGAGAAGACCCTAGACTGTAGAGAATCCAACCTTTAAGAGATGCAAACTGGTTTCTCTGGAGGTGCCCCAGAATCCAACTGGCTGCCTGTTTGTGCATAGCCCTCCCTGTATGTAAATAAAGAAATGAGGTCCCACATGGTTGTGGGGGGTTTTTGTGAGTTTTTTGGGGGTTTGGGGTTTTGTGGGGTTTTTTTGGGTTTTTTTGGGGTTTTTTTGTTAGGTAGTTTGTTTGGTTTTTGTTTTGGTTTTGGTTTTTTTGGGTTGGTTTTTTTGATTTTTTTTTGTTTTGTTTTGTTTGGGGTTTTTGGTTTTTTGGTTTTTTTTTTTTTTGGTAGCCCTGTAAATTTGGACTGCAGAAGCATGACAGAACTCAAACTGCTTGTTTTATTTCTTTGGACTGCTTCTTCCCAGCCTGCACTTGCTAGTAGAGCTTTACTTGTGAGTAAAGCTCACAGATCATGGAAACTTGTCTCTGGACAACTTAATGACTCCCACCATGTGGGAGAGCTCTCAGCTGGAGGACCACCCATTTTCCCAGACCCACACCAAGCCAAAACCTGCTCAGGTACAAGGCTGTTCACTGTGCATTTCTCTCACCTCCTCCATTTTTGCCACAGAGATAAGGGAAGCGCCAGACGTTGCCCAGACCGATAGCATAGCCCACACAGGACAGCAAGAAGTCAAATTTCCCCTTCCAGGAACCTCTGTCTGGGATCTCCTTCTTCTTCTTCTTCTTCTGGGTGCTCACCACCTCGGGGCTGATGGGCTCTGGCTCCTCCAGAGCTGCCTGCTTCACCTCAGAGGGAGAGCTCAGCTCCACGGAGGGGTTGTCCATCTTGCCCATGGTGACTCAGAAAAATGTCCACTCTTGCTGACGGGCTGGAGGAGCAGGAAAGGCAGTTTCTGCCCTGGCCACGAGAAGACAAGATGGGAAGCACTGGGCAAAGCTCCTGGTGAAAAAGGAGAGAAGGAAGGTGTCCTGTGTCAATGTGGTGTGACAGACTTGGTTTTTACCATTACATAACAAATCCTTCAACTCTCATCTTATCTGCTTCTCATCCCAGTGCTCTGCAGGAAGAGCTTTGGGACCAGAAGGCATGCAGCAAAACCACAGGTTGTGGGTGACCCACCACACAGCACAGAAATATTTCTGTCCTGTCTGAGTGACAGTGGAGGAGGGCACGATGAAGGTGCCAGAGCTGCCAGGTCTGGGGTCCAAAACTGAGCACAGCAGTCACAGAGCCATCTGGGAGTTTGTGTGGCCCTGCTAGCTAAGCATAGATTTACAGCAGCACCTCTGCTATGGATGTGCTGCACTTGGAAATCCCATGCATTTATCCCTCACCACAGCAGCCACACAACCATGTCCACAGCTGTGCACCTGCAGCATCTGGCAAGGCAATTGCTGCTCTGCTCAGCCCCTCCCTGTACACCATGTTGCATGTGTACTGTAATCCCCAGGTGTATTCAGCTTCTGCTCACTGTGACTACAGCCAGCCTGTGAACCACTGAAATCCCATTAAGTCAGGATTCCAAAGTCCTGATGATTAATTGCATGAGTCCAACTAAAAAATTTAGTTAATACCTGCATTGATTTTAGTTCCTAAGAAGTATATAACCATCACACCAAAACAATTTGGAAAGAGAGAGAGCAGGCTATGTTACTAGACCTGTGTCTAACCCAATATTGCACTCATGTCTTGAAAAATAAGTGCAGTTCTTTCTTCCTGTCACGCAAGCTATTGCAAAGTCAGAAAAAGGCATGGAAGAGAGCCAAAAGGCTGCTTAAAAGCATGGAGTAAGTTCCATGTGAAGAGAGTATAAATGAAACAGGATCCATTGGTCTGCGGAAGCTGGCAGGGGCCTGTAAGTGTATCAGTGTGATAGAATACAAGTATTCACCATTTCTGACACAAGAACTGCAAGGGATTAAACCATGACCAGCAGGTGGTAGGTTCAAAAAGAGCAAGCAAGAGGTGATATTCCAGAAAATGTGTAGCTATAGAGCAAGACTCCCCACTGCAGGACATGCTGGATGCCAAGAGTTTATATTGCTTTAGAAGAGGAAATTAAGGGGATAAATAATGGAAGGAAAATCTACCAGAATCTACTACTGCAATTCTGCAAAACCTTGAGCTGGAAGTTGTTGGAGGTTGAGGGACTCTTCCAAGCAAATAACACTCTCTACTTTTCCTGGTTTTATCCTGTCCCCTCAGCATCTGCCCTCAGCCAGCACAGAAGACAGGACTGGCATGGGGTTTGCTCTCACCCACTTCTCAGCCCATTTTACAGAGACAAATTTAATCCTCACCAGAGGTCCTGAGGGTGATCAGTGCTACAATCTCTCAGAGAAGTCTGTTGACAAAAACACTGATAGATGCAAACATTGGAAAACAAACAAACAAAATGAAAAACAAAATCAGGAAACAAATCAATGCTGTAAAGAGGTGTCATGCTCTAGCAGTTAAAGCTGACCTTGCTTGGAGCTTCTTACTAGACTTGGCAGTCTAGTCTCATAAAGAAACAGTACCCATTCACCCCATGGGATGTTTGGGGGATTCATTAACTGTTTTTAAAGTGTACTGGACAGAGGTGGTCTCCTAAGTCCAGGCTCAATGGCAGTATGACTCCTGCTATCTGCAGTAGGCATCCCATGATTACAGCAGGTGGATTTTATTCCCCCACAGAATTCATCATTGAGGTTAGAAAAAGTCAATCAACTGTGAAGGGAATGGCTGAATCAGGAAATATCTGTAATTCCTTCTGATAAGTCAGTGGAGAAGCCAGAAATCCCCTTGCTGTGGGACAAAGTCTGTAAGCAAGCTCCCTGAGCTATGGAGCCCACACCAAGCCTCACCCTCACTCCTCTAGCCCCAGGATGGTTGCAGTAAGCCCGGCAGTAAGTGGCAGCATGAAAATGGTTTCCGAGGAGAAGAGACCATTTCACATGGCCCATGAGGCAGATGTCAGAAGAGACCATTGCAGGACACTCAGAGCAAAAGCTTTGGTTGACAGATGCTGTTTCTCTCCTACACCTTGTGATAGCACTATCACACCAGCTCCCAGCTCCTCACTAACACAGGGAAAAAAAGATTATACAGAACATGTAGGAGGAAAGTAAAATAAAGAAAATTTATAAATCAAAATAGAAGAAATAGCACCAAAACCCTTGGGAAGAATTCAAAGCTGGGCTAAGTCAGGGTAATAAGCTATGCCTGGAGACATAACAAATTGGACACAGCAGAAGCCATTTAGACTCACCTTTCCTTTTCTTTTTTCTTTTTCTTTTTTTTTTTTTGTAGACAAATAACAGAAGATAAGTTACTGTCTTTAAAAAGTATTTATATATCCTACTCTCCCTGTGCTCTTTTCCCTGTTCTTGTTGCCATAGTTCTGGGGTGATACTGCAGCTAGGTGGTCACACCTCATATTTCCTAGACTTGGGGTAAGATGATAAAGGAGCAGCAGACCACACTGGCAATTTCTTCTTACCTGAAAAGTGAGGTCCTTCATCTCCAGCTCAGAAAGAGTAAGCTAGATTTATAGAGGTTTCTTCACAGTCAAGAAATAGAAAAACAGGCAAGAGGATCCCACTGAGGATCCATCCCACTTACTCTCCTGCCTTTCTGCAGTGATGGATGATTAGGCCAGAAGGGCTTGTGCACGTCCCACAGCCCAGCTGTGCCATGTCCTTCCCCAGACACACAGCTCTGACCAGCAAAAACACAGGCATCAGTCTCTCCAGGCCAAGTGTTTGACTCCTGTGTTGCTCACATGCTGAACAAGTCCTGCTGGGACAAAATGTCAGCCCCTCCACTTATCCACATGGGTCTCCTCCAGCACAAGCACTTTGTCCTGTGCTGACAGCACAGAGAGAGCAGAGTCAGTTCAGCAGCTCTCTGTCATGTCAGATTATTTGTTCTGAAAAGCACACGGTGCTTTGGGCACAACAAAATGCCTGAAGGACTCAAAATGATAATCAATAAGAGCAGAGCTACAAGATGGAGGTGGCTCTGCTTTGCAAGGACTTGAAAACAAGGTCAAAGTTTCAACATGACACTGTAGCAGGTTTCTCATTCAACTTCTTCCAAATGTACCATATTCTGAAGCCAGAACTTTCCAAGCAATTCGTGGAAGCTAATGCCATAAATTCCTGGCAGTAAAGAGTGACCTGTGTTTCACCAAATTGTATAGAAAGCCTGGTCTTCGGCTGCTAAAGTCAATAAAAACAATTGCCTTGTCCCCACTGGATGCAGAGCCAGGCTGAAATGCATTCTGGCAAACAGACTGTCTTTTTTTTGAGGGATTTTGCTTCAAATAATAAAATAGCACTGAGAAAGTATTGCTGCCACTTGAAGCTCTGCCTCTCCTGAAACACTGTTGCTAACAACAATGACCTTTTTACTTTTCCCTGCTTCACCATCAAATATTAACAATCTCCTCATATTTGACAGCAACCAAAAATTTCAAGGGCATAAAACTGCCCAAAATGAAACAGCAAAATGACCTATGGAAACATATGCAAGAAATACTTTCACACACCTCCTCACCTCTTATTTGTCAGTGATTTAACAGCCACACAAATTACTTCTGACCCATGCAGGTAGAGCCACAATTACTTTAATTACACAGTGCAGGCTGTTGTTTAGTCAATTAGACTTTTCCTTCCATCCACAGCATTTTAATGACAGCCAAGTGGCCCCAAGGCTCGTGTGTCTTGGTCAGAGCCGTGACCAGCCCATCAGGGCACAGCAGACTCTCAGCTGATTTTCTGTCACTGCAGCAGCAGCAGCATATGCTGGAGCTTCCTGCATCCATGAAAGCTGGAGGGTCAGGGAAAAGCTCCCTGTGGGAGCCTGAGGGAGGGTGCTGGCCCTATATGGAGCCCACTCAGGGCTGGAGCATCACTGTCCTGTCCAGCTGGGTCAGGCAGACAGGGCTCATGCTTCACAGCCCTCTCTGCATGCTGCCCAAGAGGTGCCACTGCAGTCACCCAACATTTCATGTGCTTTCCCCTGAAGAAAGGTGATTGCTTGGTTGGAGAAGCTGGCATTCACAGAGGACGTGAGAAAAAAGTAAATTACCTCTCCTAGGTGATGGAGTTGCTGGGTAGCCTGCAGTTCCACACCCTTTTCCATCCTCTTGCATAAGATTTGGGATGCTGATACCTGGGTCTGACCTGCAGCTGCCTCTTCCACCAGCAGCCCACATCACTCTTAATATTGTGGCAGGTGAGGCTGGCACAACACCACAACCTTATCCAGATGAGAAGGGGCATGAGCCAAGTTTCATAAACCATCAGATAAATGGGACTTTCACTGAGGCAAGGACACATCTTTCAACCCCCAGCCATGATCCCAGGGGGGCTATGGCAGTACCTCACAGCCCTGAAAATGTTTTTGGAGCTGCTGGGACTGGCTGCATCCTGCAATGTGATCGTTTTGCCAAGGGGCACCTTCATTTTTGTGTTATACATGCAGGAGGAATGGGGCCAGCTAGCATAAAAACCTGTCTGAGATGCCCACTTGAATTTCCTCTGGCTCCTCACCCCATGGGGGAAGGCAGGGTCAGTTCCTGCTCCTGGCCACAGGCTGTGCTTCACTCACCACTTCTGCCATCACCTTAACATTGTCCCTAAGGAAAGCAGGGCTTCGTGCCTTTTTTGGAAAATCCAAATTATGCAGCCTCTGAATGATTTTAACGCTCTCACTTAAAACTCATGCTGGTCCCTGAGAAGCTTCCCCAGGAAGCAGAGAGATGGCAGGACTCTTTTTTTGGCCCTAGCAGACTGTCCTGACCCAGTGTGAGCCACCTCAGCAGCATGAGGATCAAGGCCAGGCCACATCCCACTCCCTCATGGCAGTGTCTGAGCAGACTGCACATTTCCAGACTGGGACACATCCCTGTCTCCATCCTCCTCAGTGAAAGTACAGCATTAAAAAGATTAAAG